GGCCACCATATAGTGAAAGCTGTCTAGGAGAAATAAATTATATGAACATTTTGCAGGATCTTGGGTTATTGGATATCTTTATAAAATGCTAAACATCCATCCTACAAGAAACTACATAAGGAACTTATCTTATCTCTCAAAAAAGTGTCCATAGGAAGATGCACTAACAGAAAAGAAAACAATTGAAAATCCACGTAGTTGTATTCTTACCAAACTGTTTTAGCTAAACTGCATTGTTGGCCTTCAGCACTTTCACCGACGTATCCCCGTAAAAAAAGGAATAACAAAAGCTTCCTCGTGAAGACAAATCCCTGTATACAAAGATCTGAGTGGGGTAAATTCCCACTATATACACAGAAACCTAATGTTCACGTGTTCATTTCCCGTAAATAAGAAAATGTTGTCCTTTTAATATGTCAGGGAACCTGCCGTCTCAAAGCTGATTCAATCATCGGTGAAAAAAAAGATAAGTAGCACCGTTCCAGTCTTTTGCATTTTGTATCGCTTCGTAAACATATAATGGACGTTGCATACCTTAATCTGACACTATATGTGGAAAGAAATACGCATTTTTTGACATTACTTCATTATTTAGTAGATTTAATCGACTACATCTAAAGATTCTTATATAGATCACATGGTTTCGATTTTATCTATTTAGTAAAACGATTTACTCCTTCACAGTTCATAGAGTTCTGATTTCTAATATAATGAAACATTGCGCAGAGTTGGCTTTTAAAGATACACTACGCTGAGAAATTTGATTTTCAATTATATTTGTTTTTGTCATAATACATGTAGCACTATATAAAGATCGAAAAACACATTATTAATCTTAATATAGCCTATAGAGAGCGGCGAATATTAGTTTAAACATATGTTATTGCCATTCAACCGTAAAAGAAAAGAAAATAAATACGACCTTTCCTGATAATTTAGTTAAACATATATAAAAAGATCAGGAGATTGCTATATATAAATATGAAAAAATTATGATTGAAAGAGGCGTATCTCTTGGAGAAAATTGATATACATTTGTTTTTATCATAATTGCACAATTTAAAGATCGAAATAAATATTATTTAGCTTAACACATCCCTTGATGCGCGACGATTATTGGAGAATGATTATTACCAAATTTGTTCAGAAAATTGATATTAAATTGCGTTTGTTAATGCCATAATAGCCCTATTTAATATTCAAAATAAATATCATTAAGTTTATCATATCTAATAATGCGCGGCATATCTTTGAGAATGTCTTTAATTAAATGGTTTCGAAAATTGATTTTACTACTCTTGTTTTTATCATGAGAGCGCGATTTAAAAATCGAAATGCATTTTACACTGTATTAAGCATGAATAGATTATTTGTTGCGAGGCGTACGTACTACTCAGAATATCTGTACGCAAATGATTCCGAAAATTGATATTAGATTTACACTTTCAAAAGCTTTCCCCTTTAATGATGCACAGAGTAGATCTCCAAAATGTTTATTACAAAAAGAATGTCGAAAATTATTATCAAATTGCATTTGTTTTTGTCAAAATAGCACCATTTAGAGATTGAAATAAATATGATTAACATGCGTGTTTTAAAATATGACGTTTCAAAATCTTAACATATTTTATAATGTCCAGTGTATCTTAGAAAACAGTTGTAAACAAACGTGTTTTATAGCATCATAAATATGTCACCTAATATTAAAGTACGTCGGTGGTGAAAACAAATCCCCACTTATATTTATTTAACTATGAAATTATTTCCACCAGCAGATTTGATAAATTTGAAGTCAGGAGTTGTTTTCAACCAGCGACGTATATGAAGCCACACCAATCTCTTTTGAGTAGTGGTACAGTATTGTTCCTAAAAAACACACTTTAACATTTAAAAAAAAAAGATATCTATTAACTAATTAATTATCTATTTAAAGAAGTTTTGTCTGTATTCGTTACATATATCCCATTGGTTTAGATCTAAGCTTTGGTTTTCTCCATTGTTCTGTAAAATTTACTTTCTATCTTATTAGGTTTTGTTGATGTATTTTTCTCCGAGCTTTCACATGTGTGTCTTCCGTTTTAACCTGGAGAGAGCAGCCTCTCATCCCTGAGGGTAAGATAGTCTCGTAGAATAGCACGCACCTAAATTGTGATGCTACAAACACGAATGGTGATATCCATACACCCCATTTGCTTTTCTTACAAACATGTCAGAAAACTACGTTAGAATTATAACTGAAATACTAGAACGAGAGAAAAAAATCACCCCCTACCTTGAAGGTGTACCAGAAAAAAATCACCCTTGGGTTGGTGATTGCAGATTCGATCCTCGCCAGAGTCTCTGGTAATACATACAACCCACTCATGTTGGATATTTCTTATTTAGTATTCTCTCATCATCTACATGAAGGTTTCCCGTTTAAGCAGAGAGATCAGCTTCTCGTGCATAATAGCTCGCGTTAAATCCTGACGTCATAAAAAGTTTAATGACAATCATGTATACGCCAAATATGTATTTGTTTACAAATACTACTGCTGTCGGTTGAATTAATAGGATGTGAGAAAAATAATCCTCCCCTACCTTGAGCGTGACAGAGAAATCCTCGAACCTCAGGGTGATAATTTGGTTGTCGAACCCTCAAGGCGATTATTTGCTTGTGAACCCCATCGAGCCCGAGGATTAGACAACCAAATACTCATCACGATGGTTGGAGATTTCTCTGTCACACCCTCAAGGTAGGGGGGAGGGGGGATATATATATATTTTTGTTTAAATCCAAGCACAATCTTTCTCTCTAGTCTTTTAATGTTAAATAAGATCTTTTAAATGTAAGTATTTGCTTTCTCATTTATCTGCCTTTTTTTGGTATTAGATATGTCGTTATTTAAGTGTGTGGAGGGGATTTATTACATTTTTGCCAGTGAAATAATGGATTCTATCAACTTGATAAAACTGATATCTTTCAAACTGTGACAAAGATCAAAAGTTTTTGGTATTGACCAATCATAACGGTATCATCCTATTCGCTGCGTACAAAGGCAAGGATTTTTTCTTTAGATTTATATGAAGCAACAGTAGAATAAGTGGTTGTTATGGTAAACGTTTGGTACACACACGAAGTGTTTACATAAATATACACTTAATAACATTTTAATAAGCAATCATACCAGAAAACGTCGGAATTGCGTTGAGAATCCCATTCAAAATGGCGCGCATCCTTGTTGTCAAACGTGACGTCAATATAATATGGCGCTAAGTATTACGCGCTGATTCCCGGCCTTTTTATGCATTACATTTTACATGTTTTATGCTTTAAAAATGTAATAAATAGAAATGTCAATGGTGTCTTCAGTAATTATATATATTTATTTCACGAGTGTGGCTAATATTTTGATCATGCACACTCGTGAAAAATATCAAAATATTAGCCACACTCGTGAAATTTATTTGTTATTACTGAATACACCATTAAGGTACAATGTATTACATGTATAATGAAGTCTGCAAACATCGGCCAACATCGGGAAACTTCGTAATGTGGAAATTGCTCCTAATCGTGAGGTCATTTTCTTTTCGGTATGAGTTACCGCCCGTTGGGGAAACCGCAATTGTAAACAAATGGCGACTGTTCGTTATTTGCTCGGCCTTTTTAAGTAAAATCTCGTCAAATTTACTGTCAAGGGATTTGAAGTGTTTGTTATTATTATTACAGCGTTGGACATGTGTGTTAAAGGGTAAAGAATTTGTGAAAATAGAGATTGTCCTTTTTTTAACAACGTGAAATTAGGTAGACAAACAGAACGTTCTGGGGGGGAAAGATGGGTGTCAGGTCGTTTCGTCCTAAATCCCGTTCGCCCTGGGATGTTCCGCACCAAGTTGTTTCGCCTTATAATGCTTTTAGGGTGAAGTGTTTTGTCCTGTATAGTTGTGCATGGTTAATTAAATATAATTTGAAGTTTTCTATGTCTCCCTTATCTTTTTTTTGCAATAAGACTCGTTAGATTTCTAAGCGGTTGACCAAATCGACAAAACAGACGCGGGCTACAATATCATTATTTTTCAAAATTGACATCGGAAGAGATTGATGTATTCATATATTTGTATTGTTAGATGATGTATCAAGACAATCATTGTACTTTGACCACATTACTTTCGATTATTTGATGTCAAGACAACTTACTGTGAAACTTCAACTATCGAAAATGGACAAAAATGGTCAAACCTGAGTGGAGGGGGGTATCGTAACTATACATTTTGTTTCAAAATTCAGACGGTAAAATTTTGATTTATTACGGTTTTTTGAACGGTAAAGAGATTTTGCAAGAACATTAATTTGGTTTTTCATCAATATCTGATATAATTTGTTGTACAAATAATTTTTTTCCACCATTTACCAAGAAAAATTGAAGTACAAAAATTTGAATTTCACGGCAATATTGAATATGAATAAATGCAGAATTTATTTTTTGTGTTTCTTGAAAGAGTTATTTTTTTCGTATTTGTAATCTACAATGGTTGACCAATTTGTTGATATCTACAAGTAATTGGTTTGAAAAAAATGAATAAAATCATAACTGTCTGCATATAAAAAAAAAAAATGTCATTTTATTGGACTTGGAACAGAAAGCGGCCCCAGTGAAGTGTACTTATAAAATGCATCAAAACTGGGAAATTATGCGGTAGAAGTTCATCAAAATTTGGGAAATAATTCACACGCGTGTGTGGAAAACATAAATATATATTTTTTCACTTCCAAAAAATGTGTATCATACATGGGATACCTTAAATATTCTCTATATCTCTGTTGACCGCTGATTTATTAAATATGCTATCATTTACAATGCAAGATTTGCCTTTTCTCTTTTGTATATGTTGTGTTAGATGTCATGTATTTAACTGTAATGAAAAGCATCACCCGTTTTCTGTTTATGTTACATTTGATGTCATCGTTTGATATTCTATGAAGTTAAAACAAAACTGTTTGAATGAATAAACACATATTAAAAATAATGCCGAGATTTAATCAGTTACAAAAACTATATCACAACTTGCATCCGCGTTCCGTTCTAATAGCTAAAACGGCAAAGCTCGTTGTCATAAACTGTTGCATGTCCTTTGTGAAAAAGTTTGTTAGGAAACCTACGGTTGACTAGTTCAAAAGTGATATAGTTTTTTTCTTATATTAACTCCTACACGGAACAACTTATTTACAAGTATACACATAAAACATATCGAAATATGACGAATCTTGATTGACATGAAAATATTGGAACATCACAGACTATGATTGGAAAGGATGGAACATTTTGTTCCTGTCGAAATTAATCAAATTTCAAAAAGAATGGAATATAGTCTTAGGAAGAGGCTTCCTCCGATGCGTGTTCCGGTGCCGCCGAAGATTTGGCGTCTTGTTTGGGCGTTTCTGCTTTGGATTCCTCAGGTTTCTGTTCTTGTTCAGTTTGCGTTTCCGATGCTGGTTCTGGTGCAGCCTCGGCTGGTTTTTCAGCTGGTTCAGGTACAGACTCGGCTGCTTGTTCAGCTGGTGCAGTGGCTGACTCTGATTGTGGTTCGGCAGCTGGTTCAGAGGCTGATTCTGCCTGTGATTCGGGAGCTGGTTCCGGAGCAGATTCTGCCGGCTTTTCAGCTTGAGTTTCTGCTACTGTTTCACTGGCTGGCTCAGACTGTGTTTCGGCAGCTGGTTCAGAAGCAGCCTCGACTGGTTGTTCAGCTGCTTTTTCTTCTGTTTGTTCAGTGGCTAACTCCGGCTGTGGTTCAGCAGCTGGTTCAGGGACAGACTCTGATGTTTGTTCAGAAGGAGTTTCCGCTGCTTGTTCACTTGCTGGCGTGGGCTGGGATTCGGCTGGAGCCTCAATCGGTGCCTCAGGCTCAGTTTCAGCTTTTGCTTCTTCAGCTGGTTCAGGTTGTGTTTCTGATGCGGGTTCAGTAGGAGTTTCAGTAGTTTGTTGTTGTGGTGTTTCTTCCAATGATGCAGATGGGGTTTCTGCTTGTTCTGACTCTGCTTTATCAGAAACAGGCGTCTCTTCCGCTTGAGCTTCGGCCACTGGTTCCTCTGTAGAGGTAGCATCAGGAGATGGTTGTGATTCAGAAGGTATTTCTTCCGATGTCTGTTCTTGTGTTGACGCTTCTGCGGGTTGTTCTTTTTCTTCAACCTTAGCTACTTCTACCTCCGTGGGTGCTGCCTCAGTTGCCGAAGTAGCATTTTCATCGCTTTGAACTTTTTCTTCTTCGGAACCCGCTGGTGTCTCAGTGGATGCAGTATCTTCACCTTTTGCAAGAAATGTCTGTGGAGAAGGTTCTGCTTCTGCCTGTGTTTCTGCTTCAGCCTCCGCTGCCGGCCCAGTATCCTCTGCAGAAGGCTCAGATGCTGGTTCATCTGATGTAGTCTCTGCCGGCGAAGGGTCTTCTTTTGTAGGGTCTGCAGGAGCAGATTCCTCTGATGCAGGTTCTGAAGGCTTTGGCTCTTCATTTGCAACCTCTACAGGTGCAGGCTCTTCTTTGGATGATTCTGTAAGTGCAGACTCTTCTTTCGCAGGTTCTGCAGGTGCAGGCTCTTCTGTGGCATGTTCTGCAGGCGCAGGCTCTTCTATAGCAGGTTCTGTAGATGCAGGCTCTGCAGGTGCAGTCTCTTCTTTGGATGATTCTGCAGGTGCAGCCTCTTCTTTGGCGGGTTCAGCAGGTGCAGCCTCTTCTTTGGCGGGTCCTGCAGATGCAGCCTCTTCTTTGGCGGGTTCTGCGGGTGCGGCCTCTTCTTTGGCGGGTTCTGCAGGTGCAGCCTCTTCTATGGCGGGTTCTGCAGGTGCAGCCTCTTCTTTAGCGGGTTCTGCATGTGCAGCCTCTTCTTTGGCCGGTTCTGCAGGTGCAGGCTCTTCTATGGCAGGTTCTGCTGGTGCAGGTTCCTCTGTGGCAGGTTCTGCAGGCTCAGGCTCTTCTGTAGCAGGTTCTGCAGGTGCAGGCTCTGCAGGTGCAGGCTCTGCAGGTGCAGGCTCTTCTACGGCAGGTTCTGCAGGTGCAGTTTCTGGGACGGGTTCTGTTGGTGCAGACTCCTCTTTTGCAGGTTCTTGAGGTGAAGGCTCCTGTTTTTCCGATTCTTTAGGTACCCCCTCTTCAGCTTTTTTTATATATACATCAGACTGTGTAGAGGGCGGTTCCATTGGTTGTGAAACTATTACGTCTGGCGATGTACCATTTTCAGTTGGTGCAGTCGGTGCAGTTGGCTCAGTTGATTCGTTTGCATTTTCTACAGGGGCTTCAACCTTTGATTCTATCGCTGACTCAACAGGATTCACAGCCTCTTGGTGTACTAATTTCTCTGTTTCACTATCTTGTTTCTCTACAGCACCATTTGTTGTTTGTGTTTCAGACGGTTTTTCAGCAGATTGGAGTGCACCATCAACAACTGCTTTCACCTCTGCTGGAGTTTCTCGTCCTGATTCATCTGCACCAGTTTCTTCGAGTACTTGCGAAGTAGAAGCATCTGCCATATTTTCTAAAGTTCCAAGTGACTTTCCCCTTTTTTGGATATCGTCGACCTCTGACCCTGCGAGAGTCGGCTCACTCTTTGCTTTGTCGCCAACTGACTGATATGTCTCTTTTGGAGTATCGTCTGTCTTGGCTTCTGTAACATATAAAAGAAATACTACATTTAATCATTACATCGAGGAAAGTAAGACTTTACACAAATAAAGTATACCCATTTATAATCGGTAATAGTTTGTCAGTATCATATATCTTTTCAGAGCTTATAAAATGTAGGAATTAACACTATTTAGGTATGAGAGGTAATTTGAAAACGTATGCACATATAGCATCGAGCTATTGAAAACCGACTTAGACAAACTTCATGCAAACAAATCTCTTCAAAATATCGATTTTTGTCTTACAACCATGGTGTTTTTTTTAGTTTTATCCTGAAGGGATAACCAAGTTCTAACAATTGAATCACGTAACGTCCACAATGCATTATATTAACGTCAACATCACATAGGTGACAGTACCAACAGGGTCCGATAAACGGGAATGAACAGAAAATTCGTTATTATAGTCACTGTTTTGTTTGTAAATGAACAAATCGGTCATATTTCATAATTTATCATAATTTTCCGTGAAATATTAGAAATTATTGATGAATAAAGTGTCTTTTTCACTGCAGTTAGCATTATCAAAATGATATTTATTTACTTTTTTGGTTTTTAACTAAAAATAAGGAATACAAAACCAATGAATAAAACACTAGTTCAGAAAGCCTGAAATGTTCTTTTTCGTTTTTTTCTTGATTATGACGTCAGATAGATCTCAAATCATATACGAAAATATGTAATAGACAAAATAGTTAACGCTTTCTTTTTTTGATTTCACTCGTGCAGCGGAATATTTCTGTAATTGCACTCGAACCTTTATAGTTTCTTCCTGAACATGTGGAGATATGTTAGGCACATTTGTGTAATACATAAATATATTTGGTATTCAACGGAAAAACAAAAGTTAGATATAGAAATAGGATATCTTTTTATAACCACCAGTTTTATACACGACGGTTGGGGGTCAATTATTTTGCATTTTTCTGATGCACAAGTGAAAGGTCAGTTAAATGTGAAAATCCCAAAAAGTGTATTTGCCATACTAGAAACATATCAAATATATTATCACTATAAACACGACACGTCTCCAGCACACACGCAGGCATACACATATAGAGATATTAGTCAGGTGACATAGGACTAGTAGTTAGCGCCTGATAAGGCAGCTCCTGCGAATTCCTCAAAATTATATTGATTAAAGTATATGCTAAGTGTATTGATTGTATAAAATAGATATCTTTGTACTGTAAAGCGCTTTAGGGTGATTTATTCTAGCTAGATAGGACGCTATATCAAATGTTGTATATCATTTGTTATTAGTACATACTTACTAATAAAAACGGGTGTTTTGCATATGCGATACGACATTATCACTCTAACCCATATCACCTCTCGCCATATCACACCCTAAAAGCCGTATCAGCCCTCTCCGTATCAGCCCGCAAAACCTGTATAACACCCCTTTTGGATTTCTTTTCGTTTTTCAATGTTTCAAAAGAAAAATAGATCGTAAGATAGTAGCTTTTTTAAGTAAGTATGTAATAAACAGACAAAAACATGACCAATACCATGACTTCGGCCCTCGGGCTGATATTGCAGTTTCGGGTTGATACTGGGTGTGATATGGAAAAGGGCATGTTTTATTCTCTATTTAACATTACTTGTAACATGTACTGCATAGATGGTAATTTTCGCGGAGGGGATTTATTTTCGATATTTTTACGGTCACCAAAGTTAGCGCGAAGTATAACCATCGAATATTTATACCATGAATATACAGATTTTAACAGAAAAGACATGTTTAACCTTTAACTGCCGAATTTTGGAGATAAAACACCAATCTAATTGCGTATTTTTACGGGTTTTTTTTATAACACTTGTAAGATAAAACCCTACATCCAAGTACAAAAGGACCCTCTTGAGCGCAATACTTTACTTGGTAATGTTGCACAAAATCAATCCCTGAGAACTAGTTCAAATCTAGACAACCGCAAAATATTAGCCCCGCAAAATTAAACAATCGTATGGTAATAAATACCATAAACCACTTCTTATTTATTTGATAAGTACTACAATATACAGTATCAGTCATATTATCTCACACACCTATAGATTTAGCTTTCCAGATAAATTGAATTCATACCTTACTTTATCTCTATAGTATCAACCTTCTTAAGTAACCTTACATACGCGCTAACCTGAAATTAACCATCTTAATCTAATACACATGCCAGAATCTGGTAATGCCAGTTTGAGCTTCGAAAGCCAGAAGCGCTGAAAATTTCGGAGATAAATAAGCAATAAAAAATGGGGGTAAATAAAGAGATAAAAGGTTAATCTGATACGGAAGACACACGCAGAAAAATCTCCTTGGTTCTGTTTTCTGTAAAGAGGTGTAGCAAAATTCTACCATTTTCACATGTGAGCAAACGCAGAAGTCATTGACTTATCGAAATTCATTGACCTGGTGGCAATGCGTCATAAATGAAGGCGCACTGACCCAACTATTCGTTGCTACAAAAGCCATCGACCTACAGATTCAAAGACCTTGACTAAAAATACCATACAAATGGGAAATCGTAAATAAAGAGCCATCAGATAGTCCTGTAACAAATATAAAGTTCATGTTTGAAATATATAACAGAGGTTAGGTCTAATTGTATATATAAAAAAAACAATATAAAAAAAATCGCGAAACTTGAATCGTTAAATATGTACAGCGAGATTTAATACATTTGGTAATTTAATGACAAGGTACTAAAGAGGAAAATGTCTTAGTCCTTCTTCGTAATTCTGAATAGTGTAACATTAAAAGATACAAAACAAGAGTCATAACCTCTTTCTATCTCAATGGTACCGGTATGACAAGTCGTGTCGCTAGGCAGCTTAGAATCAATACACCAACATCTAACCTCAAGGAATATATTTGAAAAATTCCAATCAACTTCCATTTGCATTGACTAATGATCTATTCCAAAGTGTCTTTCTGTTTCAAGAACGCTTTAAAAATGACTGACGTGTATTCAATGTAAAAAGGTATGTGCAGTATGCGTAAGAAGATTTTTAAATACAGTTATGGGAGGAAAGGGTAGTCTGTGCAATGTTACACTTTTAAAGCAAAACTGGTCGGGGAAAAAATAATAGAACATTTATGCCATGCAAAGCTTTCAAGTGATAAACGATGGAAGGCATTACAAATGCTGTTTATAGCATTTTTTTGAACGTAAAATGATACAGTTGTACCCAGGCCAAAACCAATACAACATATAAAAATCAGGATTGAGATAGGGATTGGTGTGTAGATGCTATGTAAGACACAGAAAAGACAGGTGGATTGTGAAACACTCAAATTAACGCCAACGTAAACAACTCTGGTATTAACAAGTTGAAGAGCATGTAGTTTTATCATGTTTTGATCCAATACTAGATTGGCCACCTCATACGCTAATGTTTGAGTACTTCCTTGCAAGTTGCTATTTCCGTGTGGTACTAATTTAAGCGATTTTCTTAAAAAAGTGACCTCTAGACCTGGGTCCGTATCCATGTAACCGTTCTCATGCTCAAGCATGAATCCTTTGCTCAAACCAACTTTCTTGTGGCTCGCTAAAATCATGTGACACGATAACAAAATCGAATGTAAACATTTAAATTGTTATTTAGCTTGTCGCCACGCTAAATGTTTTCCCAAATCATTGACAGAATCCAATTTCCTATACATCTAGCAATGAAATAACAAATCAGGCTTGAACACAGAATTTAAGTTTGAGCATGAGAACGGTTTCATTAATACGGGAACTGAAATCCGCAAAAATAAGCTCGATCTCCCAAAATTTACTATATTCGCAAATCCATGATAAAGAGAACCGGGATCGAAAAGACTTAGAACCTTTTCAGCGATTTTGCGCGAAGTGAACAGAGGTAAAGAGGTTATAAAGAAAATGAACATAAACAAGATACCAACACCGAGTGTGTTTGGAATGTCTTTGAACTACCCATATTTAAGTAAAATCGCATTCAGATAAACTATTACTTTGAATGCTATGGCCGTATTGGAGACCTATTATAACGTCATAACGGTAAGGCTGAATACCATTGATTGTAGATGTTCTATTAATTGAACACGTATACACGTATTTTCAGTGTTTCGTTTTATCTCATTTATGTTTTGTTAAGAAATTAAACATATAAATCAAATGCGTTTAAAGTTTATAATATCATGGCATCCATTTCAATATGACTGCCAACTGCCATCTTCAAACTTCAAAATTCAACATTTAGTTTTTACGTGCTTTAATGAGATACCATTTTCTACTTTTAGAGTGCACTAGAAGATACAAAAAGTTAGTGGACTAAGTATGTGTTGGGCTTATATTGAATTTAACGTATCCTTTACTTAAATACTAAACGTAATATGGTTATAAAATCAGTTTATAATTTATCTGTATTACCTAACTAAAAGAAATCAAGACGCAGTTATGAAATTATTAGCAAAGTTAGTTGGTTAGGTAACAGAAGTCTACCATAGACGTTAAATGTATATATCACCTGGATATCACTCTCCAGACTCATCACAAGATACCACACCTCGTGTAATGCTATGCATGTGTCTAAAGTACACATTGTGTCAGTGGAATGCTGGACACAAGCCAAATAGTAGACTTAACCGTGTGACTATCATGAGAATTTATCATACGCACCCAAAATATAATGAGCGGACCAATTCGATATGTGATTCACGAGAATGACGCCATTTCTTATTGTACGACGAAGCGGTATTTACGCTGTTTCTCGTTAGTGTGGTTATTCATACTCCGTGACCATGAGAACCGCAATAGGTATATATTATAAAAGAAACTGTTGATAAGTAAGCCAATATAATAAAGGTAAAGGTTATAATCTTTCTGATTGTTCTGTTTAAAAACCTCGTACTTGGCATATTTTAATTTATTGTTTTGTTAGTCATCATTACATGGTATAGCATATTAAAATAAATTGATGAATGGGAAGTAAAAGTAGAACAAATTCAATATAAGAGGCA